ATGAAGGTCGCAGAGAACTTTTATAGACCAATTGTCATCTTTTTCTAATTTTACGCCTTGCAACAAAAATGGACAACCATTTTTTTTGTTCCTGTCCTCTTACGAGATAATGCTTCTTTGCTTTTTGCTTTCTTAGGATTCCTATAAGCTCCTCCACGCTCACAACCAAGATGCAGTCTGGCCTTTTTTACATCGTTTTTAGCTGAAGAAGAACTAATCACAATAACATAACCTATATTTCTTCCAGTTTCTTTGGCCCATGTAAGCAATTCATCTTTACTGGTAAACACCTATCATATAAATTTCTTGAAATTCCTTTCATATGCTTATTCTTAATTTCCTTGGTTACACAAAACTAGAACTTTTACTCACTTTATCAGTATGAAATGCTCCAAAGGAATTGCTTGAATCTGGCATATCTTCACCACTAAAATTCTGATTAGCATAAAGAACTCGGTTAGAGTGATATCAAATTAACACAAAGTGTCATCATTAAAATGGTTCACCCGAAATTCATCAATTTCTTGTTCATCATCATCCTTTTCTTGTGCATGGAAAACCACGTGCTCCATGTTCTCCACTTTTAGTTTTGGAGAAGAACTCATTCAGATACACGATCGATAACAACTATAACAACTAATTCAGCAGAATATTGTTGTTAGTGTAATTTATGGATGATTTAACAACAATAGATTTAATTAAGGAATTAAGGAATTTATATCTTTGAACTACCTGATGAGTTTGCATTCTTTGTTTTCTTCCAATATAACTATCTTAGATTTAATTAAGGATTTTCTTTTAAGGTAATAATCAATACTTATTTTCTATGTTTTTGTTTTCTTTCTTCAACTAAAATGTGAGGAAATGATAAATTTGAGCTAGTATCATTATTTTCTTATATGAGTTATGAACATGCATATGATCATTTGTATATTTGTTGACTCAGTAATCACACTTTTCACAAATTGATGGTTCTAAACAGTGATTTCCCTTAAAAGAAAAAAAGACTAACTTCCTGGACAATGCTTTGTGAAGTGTTTCTTATTCTCATATTCCCTTTTTTTAATTCTTTTCACACAAATTTATACAATGACAAGTCTCTTAAAGATGCAGTAACATTCCCTCATTGACTGCAAAATAGGAGTGCACATACCCAGTTTTCACACTTTTCACAAATTGATGGTTCTAAACAGTGATTAATTCAGATTGATGTAGGCTACAACTGTTTTGAGATAAATCCAGTGATGTATCAAATTATTAATGGTTTACAAGCAATATCCTCTTTTTTTTTACAATGAATCTGCACCTGCACATGTTATTTGTTTTCACGATTAGGATCAGACGCTTCATTCTTCATTCATCCAAGAATATGATGCATATATTTGATGAACCAAATTAAATTACCCTTCCTCATTGAAACAATTGCTTTTAGAGTTTGGGGGTGTTGCATACTTTAGATTATATGTAGTTCGTGTTTAATTGTATTAACTTTAGTTAAGGTAATAAAATAATCTGCCCCATAATATAACATAGCAATATTAATATAAACAAGGATGACACAAAGCTTTATTGTTCATAGTTTACGTTGTTGTAAACTTTTATAAACATTGTATGTTAATCGTTGTGTTCCATATCTTCGCTTGATCATGCAGGAATGCTTGATGATATTGTACTAACCTCATGTGAAACTGGAGAAAAAAAGTGGCCTTTCTGCGTTTATTCTTTCCTTCATGTCTTTTTGCGCTACAGAGCTTCCCAGACTGTTACTGCTTTTAGGGTTGCGAGGCTTGCGGTGTGCTTCTGATCTGCCATCTTGTTATTCACAGCCATAGCCATGGAAACAGATTTCTTCCAGGCACCAAAGTTCTCGCCTGTGAGTGTTTCGTAGATGACTCGAAGCCCAGCGTGATCGCTTGGATGAAGATAATACGGTGACGAAGAGTCTTCCGTCGGATTTAGCGGTAAAGCCATAGCAGTTAGGGTTTTGCAGATTGTTGAATAAAACGATTATGAAGAAATCGATTATAGAAATCGATTAAAAAGGATGAAATCGATTGTGAGGAATCGATTAGAAAGGAAGAGGGAATCAGGATCGATCAAGACCTTAGTCTGATAGCATGTAGAAACTCAAACGAATGCAGAGAAGAAGAGAAGCCGAAGAAGATGTGATTTTACGAAGAAGGAGAAAAGTGAATTATTATTTACATTAGGTTAAAGTAACATATTTATACTAAAGGGCTAACAGGCTAAAAATATAACAGTCCAATACAGTTTAGAAGCCCAATAAGAATAAACCCAATTATTTATTCTTGAGATAAACGACCATTATTATGCGAAAGTGGATCACTTAAACGATCTTTATGTAGCTGTAAGGATAATTAAGATATTTGATTTATTTTTAATTATTTTTATTTAATTTAGTGGTTGTATTTAGCAAAAAAAGGACCGTGAATAGAACTTCCCCTCCGTGGTTTGTCAATTTCATTCATTCATAACTTGAAAAGTTAGAACTACAAAAGTACAAATGCTTTCCCGCTTGGGAGTCGATGGGCTCATGGGCCTTTCATCTACGCCTAAATGCCAAATGGCATGTCTGCGTCCACTTTTATCTATTGCAACTTTTAGTTGGTAATGTGTCATTTGTTTTCAAAGTTACTAATAAAATACTAACATTTAAAAATTATTACGAAGAATGTGTTAGTTTCTACAACTTTTTTTACCTATTCATTGAACTGTACGTTTTTAAAAAATCGAGCTCATCTCTTAGAACTTATACGGAGTATAAGTTTTGTACTCCTACTAAAAGTTGACGATTTTGCTTCAATGCATGGCTAAGCATAAAATGTATTTTAAGTAATACTTTTTCTTCTTTAGTGTTTTAAATAAGAAATAATGGCACAAATATAACCTCTCAACTTCTATTAGAAAAAAATAGGAGTGAAATATTTTTTCACAAAAAAGTGACATTTTGCTATTAAAAAATCTTCTGCTCCCTTCTTCTTCTCAAAAAAGTCTCCGTTGTGCTTCTTCGTTCTTGCGCACGAACCCCATCGACGAAGAAGGCTTCGATGCACAGATCAGTCAATCTCATCCGCAAGTCAATCTCATCCGCATCTCATCCTTCTCCATCTCGCATCTCGGTTGTGAGCTCTGTTGCCGCCATGGACAAATCCGCCACCTGTGAGCTCTGTCGCCGCCATGGACGAAGCTATCACCTCGAGCTCTTCTACCACCCATCTCATTGCCTCGCATCTCGCCTTGAGCTCTTATCTTCTTCTCATTTCTTCTCAATCGGTTGCATCCCCATCGGATCTGAAGGATGGTGGCTGATAGACTCAGATGTAGTCCCAGCTAGATCTGGTTAGGTTGACCATGGTTGAGCGTGGTGAGGCAGTGCTTGGCGGGTAAAAGGGGGTGCGGTCGGAATCTGATCGGGCTGGGGGGGATAGTGGCAGGGGTAGGGCTGGGGTGAGATATTGATATTGGCAGGGCTGGTGGTGGGACAGTGATTGAAGCTGGGGAGTGATATTGGTGGTCACCGGGGGCTGTGGCCGGTGGGACTAGGCGGTGGTCACTGGATGAAGCGGTGCAGTGGCGGTAATTGGGTGGTGTGCCTGCGGCGATGGCTGGCAGTGCAGCGGTGGTTGCGGTGGCAACGGCTACAGTGACACGGGCGGTGGCTACAGTGACACGGGCGGTGGCTACAGTGACACGGGCGGTGGCTACAGTGACACGGGCGGTGGCTACGGTGACACGGGCGGTGACTATAGTGACACGAGCGGTGACTACAGTGACACGGGCGGTGGCCATTAAAATTGTATGGTGACTTTAAAAATATGGCAATGACGTTAGTATGACCTTCTTAGTCACATTTTTGTCCTAATATTAATGTGGTCACATTTTTGGAAATTGTGTTTACTTTAGTAATATTAAGGTAAAAACCCCTTTAAATAATTGTGACTCTAGTTTGTTTAAATATTTAATAAATTATAAAAAAGACTATTTTTACTACTAATAAATTATAGGAGTATGAAATATTTGAAATGTTTTACTATGCATTTAAGTTTTCATAGAATTTGTTTCTAAATTCTTCTTATAGAATACCGAGTATGCGATAATATATTCTCACTTCTAGGCCCGACGCCATAATACTCTAGTTTGTTTAAATATTTAATAAATTATAAAATGACTATTTTTACTACTACTTATAAATTATAGGAGTATGAAATATTTGAAATGTTTTACTATGCATTTAAGTTTGAAAGAATGGCACAAATGTTACGGAGTACTTGGCAACTTTCATTGGACAAAAATATGACCAAAATCCATTTAGCCAAAAAAGTCATTGATTTAATCTCAAATCCTCGATTTACGCTTTTCTTCTTCGTCCGTAGACCAAGTACCTCCCAGGAGGGAAGTTTTCTTTCCGTTCGTAGACGGATTCTTAGGAGCGGATACCAGGAGCAGACTACCATCTCCCCACTCCCTCCGCGCACAGAGCCACCTCCATCGCCTTCCGCGCACACAACCACCTCCATCTCCCTCCGTGGATAGAGCCGCTGCCATCGCCCTCCGCGGACAGACCCACCGCCATCGCCCTCATCGTCCCCGTCCTCTACCTACATAGTTTTTCAGAGTCATCTTCATCCCTATCTCCCAGATCTGTGACAACACCGTAGCTGGGTTTCTAGCCATGCGACGCTTCGGCGGCGAGCACCAACACCGGTGGTGGTCCAGATCTAGATGAAAACGACTAGGGTTGGTGTTGGTTGGAGTATTGCGATGAATTGAGACAGAAATTGGGCCAAGGGAAGGTAGGGAGGGACTGGGAATGGGGCTAGGGGGAGGGGAAGTGGTTGAGGTCCTTGAGGATAGGGGCTAGCTGGAAGGCCGGGAAGTGATAGCTACGTTATTGGGGCCACGGAAGGCAGGGGTGGAGCAAGTCAGGGTTTTTGGGGTAGGGGGAGGGTCGGTTGCGGTTGTAGGCTGGTGGATAGCGGTGGTGAACTAGTGGCCGGAGTTATCTGGCCGGGTCACGTGGACGTCGGAAAAAGTCATCGAAAATTTTTCCGAGAACATAGTGACACGTTTCACGGCAGAAGTGACACCTTAAAGTGACACGAAATCTGATGGTTACATTCAAAAGTGACATAAAAATCTAATAATTACATAAAAGAGACATAAAACTATGACAGTGACATAAAAATACAGTGATATCATGTTATTCCATATATGTGACCTTTTTAGTCACATTTTTGTCATTTTATAAAAATGATCACATTTTTGGAAATTCGATTTAAGTTTTCATCGAATTTGTTTTCATCGAATATGTTTTCATCGAACATGTGACCTTCTTATTGAAGGAAAAAACCCTTTAAGTTTTCATCGAATTTGTTTCTAAATTCATCTTATAGAATACCGAGTATGCCATAATATATTCACACTTCTAGGCCGGACGCCATAATGTTTCCAAAAAATACAGAATTAAAAGTTAAAACGCATCAAAAGGCGTATTTTGAATATCCATTATCGGTCCGACAATGTAAATCATTTATTACTGAGTATTATTATTATTATTATACGGAGTAGTTATAAACCAATATACGCAGTAAAACTTTCCCATGCCAAGTAATTTTTTTTAGTCAACGGTTCGGATATGGTTTGACGGGAGCCGGTCCTGGTCGGCGATAGAGTGCCGGAAATGGCAACGGTGGCCATAAGGACAATCGTCACCGGCCATCACCATGCGGCAGATCTCTGTCTTGTATCGTGGATGTCGGATCACTGGCCGTAGTTCTTTCACACCGTGAGCAAACTGGCAGTTCTCGCCATACGGACACTCGCCGGTTTCTTGCCACTTGTTGCATAGCTCTGTTTTGATCATTCCTTGATTGTAGACATCAAACTCCAGAGCCTCGTCTTCCTTTTTTGCCCCGGGAACGTATACTCTTTGCTGCTGTTCATCGAAGACAACAAAGCCTCGAAAACAAGGTTAGTTCTTGGGAGATTTAATAAAAATTAACCAAATTTGATATAATTGTGCTCCGGCGTACTCACCAATTGGGTAAGAGACTTAGTCGTATCACGGTGGCTATTCTGGAAGCCGGCTGAACTATGTTGCGCCTTCAGCTTGAGGTAGCCACTCGAGCGTACTGAAATGCTCTTTGGAAGCTGCACTTTCTCTTGATATACTCTTTCGATCCGGTGTTGCTCTATGGATCCCGGCGGTGGCCTGAGGGTGGGAGGATTTGGTTCTGCGATGAGAGCGTTACGGACAGGGGAAACTTGCGCTCCGATGCCGAGGTGACTGAAATCTGAGAGAAGACAATTCTGGATCGTAGCCTGAGAGAGCAGACTCAGACGCTGGACCAAATCGGCATTGGCCAGATGAAGAGCCTTGTTCTCACGGCGAAGCGCAATGACTTCCTTGAGAGACTCCTGAAGGCTAGCATAAATGAGAGTGTACCGATTGTAGAGCTGCTGGTACTCGAGGACGTAACTGGCCTGAAAGAGTCGGCGTTCTGTCGCCATAGCTTCAGCTTCGCAGAATGAGGTATCATCAGATGGAGATTTCCAATTCTGAGACGAGAGGAAAGAGGAGTTATGGTTCGCTGCGTAGTCCGCTGAATCCAAATGGCTCGGTGATGGAGATGGCGATAGAAAAGGATTGCAATGGTAGGGCGGCGACGAGGATCCGCAGGAGGTTGAGTTGCCGGCGGCTGCAACCGATCTCGAGTTTGAGCAGGCATTTCCTCCATCAGAAGTGGAGTTATCCTTCAGCATCGAAGGAGCTGATCAACCAACGAATGTAAAAATTACCGTCGTCGATCAATATGATCGAAGTAGCCGGTTTAAGTTCGAACTAACAAAACTGATAAAGCACAGAGCAGCATTAGACCTGATCTCCTATACATCAAAATTGTTTTGAAACTGAAAGCACAAATTCATGTAGTCATAGCAAAACAGAAACATATTCATCGAGAGTTCAATTCAATCAAAGTAATCACAACTTTGAAACATTATTATATTCCAATTTGAAATTGAAGCAGAAGGCGGCAATTCGATCAATGATCAACGCCCAATTCAATTGCACAAATTCAGCGATTGGAACTTCAATTCAATTCGTTAAAATGCAAGAGCATATAATATTATCAATAAACTACGACCTGATAACGCACTACTTACTGATCTCCATGCATTCCAGTTCAGGTGAAGGTTTTCATTCCGAGAAATGAACGGAAATGGAGATTACTGCATATAAGATGATTGCAGATAACATGAATTTGGAAGCTGCACTGACAGACTCGTCTCCTGGATATAGAATTTATAGACATACACTATTGGTTGCTTATAGCTCAAGCGTTTGAATGAGTTCTTTTGGCGGGGAATGCACTTTCTGGTTTATGCATTGCCCTTGAACCTGTATGGGGCCCATTTATAAATATACATGTATCCTGTAATTTTTGAAGTTGTAGAGGGGTGTTTGGAACTGATTTTTATTCTGCTTCTTTTTTAAAGCAGAAGCAGAATCAGAATCAGTTTTCAGAAGCTGGTCACCCCCAGCTTCTGAAAAAACTGATTCTAATAGTAAATTAGAGCATCAGAATCACTTCTGCACTTTCACCCAAACACTCCAACTTCTGCTTCTGCTCCCTAAAGGAGCAGAAGCAGTTTTAAGAATCAGATCCAAACACCCCATAGTTACCTCATTGGGGTTAGTTATGCAATTGTAGAGGGTACTTAGTGAACAGTTACTTCGAAGTAACTCATTATTAACGGTAATTGAAGGATTTTAAGAACCTCCAAATCAAAGTGCTGATCTTACGATTTGCTAGAAGTCAAGATGCACATCTTACGATTTACTCGAAGATGGTTCTAAAGTACCTTGATTACTTCCTCAGTTCCATAAAAGTTGCAACATTGGAATTTCTGCACTATTCACACACCTTACTTTGACTACGATTTTCTAATAATATATGTAATAAAAATATTATGTATAAAATATTAATAAATTTGTATTAGTGTAAATTTCCAATATATTAACTTTTTATGGAACGGAGGATAGTATGAAGAAGAGTTTTAGTTTAACGATCACAAAGCCCAGCCATAATGCTTGAGACTTGATATGTTTTCACTCGACCTTATATTTTCCACTTTGATTTGATTTAACCTGATTTCTTTAAACTTAATCTAATCTGCTCTAAGGGTCAAATATGATAAAAGCATCCTTGATGTTATTTGTTTATGTCGGATTCAAACCAATACAAGCATTCTTAGCTTGTACTACCTCCGTCCCTTAAAACATTGTCAAAGTTGACCGGCACAGAGAATAATAAAGTAAAACTTTGTGATTGAGGTTTGTGCAGAGAAGAGAGAAATAACAGAAATCACAAAATAATTGATTAAAAGGGAAAATGACAAAGTTTTTTGGGACGTCCCAAAAAGGAAATATGACAAAGTTTTAAGGGACGGAGGGAGTAATATTTTAACTCAATCATTCTTATGGTGCAGGTAATTGTAGTGGGCAAATTATATGGTACAATCGGCTGTAATAAGGGTTGGGCAAATTATATGGTACAATCGGCTGTAATAAGGGTACGGTAAAATTTGTATTTTGGTAATTAAATCCAAGTTATAGGCTATTATATTAGTTAGTTGTTCTCCATTTTCTTAGTCTTCTTTTTCCGCTGTCTTTTTGCTATCCTGAGACTTTTTTCATTTTTTCTTTTGTTTGTTTCGTACGTTGCTTTGTCCTTTTACTTATTGTTTCTCTTGTTTCAATTCTTTTTTTTTTATTTAACAACCTTTTGTTTTAACTTTTTATTCAATTATTATGAAAATGTATGATATAAAATATTGTTTAATGTTCGATTTTCATTTTTCTTTTTCCGATCTACCTTTTAACTTAGGTTTTTTTTAATTTGTGCATTATAATAAGTGTTAATGTTGTATTTTACTATTTTTAATTTTTAATTATGAATATTTTTACTATTTTAGGCATAAAAAAATGTATTGTGTATTAATTACTAACATGAGTTTTGTATTATACAAAAATGAGTATAGTATAAAATAAATGTGCATGAGTAAATATTATACGTAGTAAAAAGAACATGATTATATTTGTAATTCAAGAGCTTAAGACTATAAATTGTTTTTAATATGAAAATTTTATATTTCTCATTGTTATATACTCCCTCCGTTCCAAAAACAACTCCCCACTTTCCTTAAATGGATGTCCCAAAATTAACTTCACACTTCTCCCCACTTCCTTATTTGGCAAATTATCTACATCAAAACAGTGCTTAACAGTGTCAAACAATGTCAAACAGTGCTAAACAGTGTCCAAACAATTACCAAACAGTGTCAAAACAGTAAAATTTACTCTCAATAAGTTTATTTTCTTAATATGTGTGGAAAACGAAGTGTGAAGTTGTTTTTGGAACGGATGGAGTATAATGATAGTTTAGTAAATTGTTAATAATGAATCTATAAGTTACTACATGTACATATTTTGGAAATGAATTAATTAAATGTTATATTCGAATGAGTGTAACGATTAAAAGAAGTAAACACACACAATGAATATTTGAGAAAATTAGAGAACTCAAATGAGCTTTTAATTTTTCAATGCTCACTTTGTAAGTTATGTATGCTCATATGGTGTTAGTTTTATGCTCATTTTAAAATGACATAGCAATGCATATTTCAAAAGTATCATTTTACATTACATTCGCAAAAGAGTTGATTATAAACACGGGGACATAGGTCATTAGGGGTGGGCAAAAATCCCGGTCCTGATGTCCCAAACCGAAAAATCCCGATCTCATTCCGAAACTATCTCGGTCCATTTAGGATGCAATTTTTTCATCCCGAACCGGTCCCGTACCGATATTAACCAGGATGGGACCAGGATAGCTATAAAATATCATGTCTCGTCCCGGTGTACCGTTTAAACTTAGTAGATTATTTCACATTTCTAATACTATATAATAGCCAAACCCAATTAAAACTTTCTAGATCTTGGTTTCCCTAGTGTAATTTTATCTTATTTCATGTATCTCTTAGTCTCGTTTCTTTTGATTAAAATTTGTTTAGTTCTCTTTCCGATACTACTCTATAACATATTATTACGTGTGGAATACTATTTATGATGGAATAACTGCTACTCCAAAATATAGTGTTGTTATACATTTAATATTTTCCAAAATAACTAATAGAAAATATATATAGCTAGTCTCTATAGATATGATATTCCATTTAATGTGGTATTGAAAACTTACAAGTGTACTGCAAAGTATAAAAATATTTTGCGCTACTATTCTACTAGAGGATACACAAGATTAGGGGGACAAAAAAATTACAAGACAATAATTAAAAATAGTTAATTAGAGGTTTTACATAACTTTTTAGAGAAGCTAAATTTGCAAAAAATAGTTACGTCTTTATTTTGATGTTATGCTTATTTTTATATCACATTTCACAAATGTATATTTTATGGGACGTCCTGAATCGTCCCCGTTTTTCTCGGGTTGTCCCGGTCCCGTTTTAAATGGGACAACATTGGGATAAAGACTTATCGTGAACCGTACCGGATTATTATTATAAAACCGGATCGCGATCGGGATAAGCCAAATCCTGGACCGTCCCGGACCGCGCTCACCCCTATAAGTCATGATAGAGTAAATCTAGAGAGAAGTGAGAGCTAGAGAGAGAAGTAGTAGGGAGGCTCTAAATTAATGAAATTTTCCACCCCTACAACTACTCCCAGAGGGAGTATTAATAGAAAAAATTAGGGCTGGGCTCCCAAGTCTTGGGCTTGGAAGGCCCATTTACAATAGGGCCACTAATGGGCCGGATACAAAGTACATAGAAAATATTAAGTGTCAGACCCTATTCTGGAGGCAATATATGGCCGATGAGGGCACGGCCGACGAGGGCGTAGCCGACGAAGACCCGGCCGTCGAGGTCACCCGACTCTTCCTGACTTCTGGATCACGTTCTGAATAGACTCCTCTCTGGCCGATGAGGGTCATCTGACCGACGTGGGCTCCGCCAGGTGGTCGTGGTACCTTCTGCTCTTCCGAGTATGCATGTGGGCCTTGAGGTCCAGGCCCATATACTCCATCAAGTCATGATACTCAATCGCATGCTTCTAATACTTAATAGAGGAAGTTTGATGCGCAGTGAAAAATGTCTTGATATTCAACTAACAAAGTTTATGATTTTCATATCAATGCTCATTTTGTAATTTACTTATGATAATTTGGTACTGATGTTATATCAATGCATATTTCTAAGGTACTATATTACATTAGATTCGTACATTAGAACTCAGATTATAGATATAATTTAAGAAATTTTTATAAAACTAAAAATAAGAAAAGTAAATCAAAAGATATGAAGCAAAGAATCAGAGATCATAATGCTCATTATTACACTCCTAATACTCAAGAGAATAAATTTGATGCTCATTAAAATTGCATTAAAGTACAAACAGATCACAAATTTCACTTTAATTACCAGTTGTAAATAAGAGTAAGGGTACATTGTAAAAGGTAGTAATTATAGCTTTTATGAGAACGTATTGTTATAGTGGAATGCTATGCTACCTCTCAAAAAATGGAGGATACCGAACTTTTCATGAATTTGATGGATTCAAATCATTAGTTTCTTATCTATTTATATTGAAATCATTCAATTTCAAAATTCAAAATTTCTTTTAATAGAAGTTACTCAGGACTAAAACATATACAAATTTCAAAAATAGAACTAAGTATGTTTTATTTCCCAAATGGGACTTATTTAGTCCTATTAAAAGATTTACTTGATTAAAACTTCCTAAAATAAGAGTGAATGAATCCTAATTTGGGAATAAAACATTGATGGTCCTATTTATGAATTTATCCATGTTTCAGTAGGGAATTTTCTCCAGTTTTAATTCCTTAATCAAAACTTATGTTTTTAGGTGGACTGACTTCACGCCGAGACCAAATAAAAGTTTATCAAACACTTTTTTTTATCACACTTAAAATTTTCTTTTCAAAATCACTTTTCTTCTCCTTCAAAAAAATCAATTTTCTTTTCAAACACTATGTGCTACATTTTGCTATTAATCACTTTATATAATTTATTAAAACAACTTTTTTTAGAAAAATAGAAGCCATCTAGCTTATTATCCTCAATTCATGACTCAACAATACGGAAAGATTTAGGGTATGTTAAGCTGAAAATTAAGCTTGCGTGGCACAGAAGGGTGTTAAGGTGCAACTAACCGAAGAATGGTTAAGTAAGGAGTCATAATAATTATGAAACACAGGATTGCTTGGTTAAGTTAAACCTCTAATCATGCATT